GTCAGTCAATCGCCTTCCACGAAACGCATGAACAGGAAATAACAAACCTCCACAGAGGTTCACGTTCTCGTCCTGCGACAGAGCGCACAGCGCCTGTCTGAAAAAAATTCAAACGATTGGGGACCGAGCCGAACAAGAACTCCAACACAGCGCCATAATCACGCCATAATCCCGTCACACGCGATGAGAAATTCTCTCCAAAAGATCGAAAAGGAAACGAAAACTATAATCCGCATTTATATCATATGAGAGTTCTTCGAGTAAAATCAGTGTCGAAACACGAATACACAAAGAGTCAAGCCAAACTCACTACTCGTAGGTAGACTAAAAGTCGAAGCTAACGGAAAAACTCCGACGCGTAAGGCTCAACTCGAAGAACTGACAGTTCTTCGAGCTCGCCTCGAATATATCCCTGGAAGGTGTCGACTCCATCCAACGTTCCTCGCCCGTCTGCCGCGGCCCAACGTTAGCCGACTCCCAACGTTCCCCGACTCCAACTCGAACTCAACGTGTCTCCACTCAAATCGACCCAACGTCTCGAGCCATGACATATGGCAATGGTGTGAAGAGTTATAAGTGTGAAATCTAGTAGCTTGTAAAGTTATTATCAGTAGTGATATTTATTTCAATAAGTCTAGATCATTGAAAAAAGATGAAATGTGATCCGCTCCCATACTAACAAGAAAAAATCTTCACTCATGTATATTATTGAGAGGAAAATTGATTATTGTCTGATTATTGATATGACACAAGTAGAAACTTCTAAAGAGCTGAAACTAAAAGAGTAGGAAATTGTTGATGAGCTTCAAGTATCTACATCAGATGGTATAGATCAACGAGAATTGACCATTAGAAGATCATGAGTCAGATTAATATAGCTCTTGCAAGATATGGATTAATGATTAATTCATTCATTCTTGAAAATTGTCATACTTATACAAAGTATGGTAATGGTGATGCATTTTTCTTGAAAAAAGAATAACTTCAATATGTTCATGTTCAATATGTGCTTGACACTATTAACATGGTAAACAAAAAAGGAGTATGGAATCCTTTGAAAGCACACTTAAAACTTTCCACAATTCAATGTCATTAAGAAAGTGAAAAATATTAACAATACCTTACGACAAAGCTTAATACACCCTCATGTATTTGATGTTATACACAAAGCTTAATATTGCTCTAGAAATGAGCAAGATGAGCAGATACATGTCAAATACACGGAAGATGCATTGATGCAAAGAGTTGAAATGGATTCTCAGATACATGAAGATTATAAAAAATTATGGTATATTGTAGGATGATTTATGAAACAATGTCAAATCCTTGTTATGCTGCGTTGATGGGGACTGTAGATTTACTCTGATCAAGACTAAATCTGCAACTTTTATGTGTTTACACTTGATGGTGAATGCATTGGTTGGAGATCTAGTTTGTAGAAGTATGTAATTCAATCTACAACTGAAGTTGAACGTGTAACGATAGCAAAAGCATCAAAGCAAACTATTTGACAAGATAGACTTATCATAAAAATGAGAATGAATAAATACGTTGTCAATATTTATTATGGTTATAACTCTAGATTAGTAAGAAGTTCACTTGAAAATGAAAACATAAATTCTGAAAATGAAAAATATTGGCAAAGTTTTTTCTTTTCTTTATAAAGATCATACCAACAAGTACAAGAAGATAAAATTTCATTTTCACCATTCATTCTCCATGTTATCCACTCCTAGTGTATTATATGGAGAATGAATGATGGAAATGATGTGAGTAACATCACTCATGTTATTCATGGTTACATTAATAACCTTTTGTAACCATTTTTTGTTAGTTAGAGTTAAAGTAAAGGTTACTCAATGTGAAGTTATTGTTATTTTAGCATGGACTAAGTCATAATTGTCACGTCAACAATCCGCGTGTTTGAGATTAGATGTGTTAATTGACACTGTCACGTCAACGATCCATATACTTATTAGGTAAAGATTCAATGTGTTAGTTGAAAACTCCACGTAAGTCATTTGTGTATTTTCTAAAATTATTCGTCACATCATCCATCCATTAAAAATGGAAGGTGTGATGAGTATTAAGAATTATTAGCTTGTACTTATTAGTAAAAGTTATAGAAGAGAGAATAGAACCATTGTTGATATAGCACATCTACACAATTTATGTTTTCATGTTTGAATGACCTTCTCTAAAAACCTTAGTGTCACAATTCTACTTTAGTTTTAAATAACTAAAAATGATAACAATGGTAATCAAAATATGTTACATCTTGTTACAAATCAAGTGATGTATAACAAGTTGAAACATATCAACATCAAGTATCAATTTATCAAAGATGCGTTGTGTGATATAAAGCTTGAGTTTCTCAAGATGAACGATAAAATCAATGAAATTGATGCTATATATTATATATTATGCTATTACGCAGGTATTGTATGAGGAGTACAAGTAAATATTACTAGCAACTTTTGTTACCTTCTTATATTTTAATTCTATCTTGTTTAAGCTACGGTTTAGTTTTAATTACCTCTAGTGTAGAGAAGTGTCTACGATACATTTACTTCTTTAACTTCTTAAGGGGTATTTAAATAGACTGTGAGGGTTGTTTTCACGACATCAGTTAACCTAAGATTCTTAGTAGATAAGTCACGACTCGATATAGACTCAAGTTAGAGTTAAAAGTATGATTAGTTATACTAGTGGGGGTTAATCCTAGTTTTTCAATTACCAAGTACATTTAAAAGAACAAGTTACAACTTTCTTGAATAGAGATATATTTTTTGAATAAAACACTTATTACCGTAAACATAGTACGATCATGACGAACCATGTAATTTCTATTTCATGAATCTTTTGATTCTTGTGTTCCATTTAACATTATTTATAGAAAAAATCAATTGAGAGAAGAATTCTTGAAAATAATTAGCTGCTGCTAAACTTTATCAATAATCTTAGTAGAATGATAATTTTGAACAAAATTATAAACAATATAAGTCCAACTATTTATGTCAAACAATCAACATATCATTTGCAAATGCATCAATTTATGTTGTTTGTAGATTAATAATGTTTTCAAATAGAATTTTGTAGATAAATTATAGTTATATTTTTACAAATAAAATTTCTAATGAAATAATAAAATATGATTCCAAGTATAAAATGCATATTTTTCAAAGAAACTTTTGATTGTCAACATTTCATTTAGCACGTACCTAGAGAAAAGATGAATTATTTTATCAAAATTTTTCACATTCCTTAGCAATAAATTATTAAAGCTGTTATTTATAAAGCATGATATTTATAGATAACATACAAAGGTCTTATATATTTAGATGCAATCAGATTGATAAAATTCGTTCTCAACGTCTATCCACAAAATAAGAAAATGTGAAATATCATGTAAAGTTCGCCAATGCCCAAAGACACATGGTTACCTCCAACTAATGTGGATATGATAATCCACATTAGAAGTGCGAAGAATGTTGCAAAACCATGATTCAGTTAGCTAGAGTCAATAAGGCCTTCTATGTCAAGTTACAAGGATCAACTATCCCAACTATAGACTTGAAAATATTAATATGCATACTGCACATCATAACTCTCTTCCAATGATACTTTCCTTTCCTAAAGTAGACCTGAGCTTTGGTCTCTGCTTCTGAATGATTTCCAGGTTAAAGGCCCTAGAAGCTGAACTATAACGATTATGACCAGAAGTGATGGCCTCACTAGTAGACTCCCAGGTTAACAGTGCGTAGGAATCTGTGCACTTTCGATAGAGGTGGCATTGAGTCTCGAAGAGATCTAAGGTCAACAGACTTCAAGGCAGAAAAGCAGAACTAGCAAAATGCTGAAACAGTTATACACAAAATTCCACATTCAATCGCAAAATCTTTTCATGAAATCGCGCCGTGATATCCTCCTTGATCATCTTACATTAGTGGATCATTGAGGGGGGATTTTTAGGGTCTGTCTTGTTGAGCACCGATAAGTCAAAGTACTTCTCAAGACACTTGATGGCAGGAGCAGGTAATTGAGTCATGGTAGTCAAGACCTGGTGGACAAGAAACACTCTATGCGCACGCAGAGGAGCTGACCACAATAAACTGTGCTTTCCTTACACACATTTAGTATTCGCTTTCCTTACACACGTGCTTTCCTTTTGATCATCACTACATGAGCATAATGTGTCACAATATGCTCATGTTGTGATGATTGTGGAAAAGAAAGTGCACCATATATCAAATTCTAATAAACAAGAACACTAGAGACAGTAAATCTGAAACTTATATATTACTCATTACATTTTAGCTACGAAAATCTCAGTGACATGAAACATGTCTTTGAAAGGTTCGCCCTACTGGAAAAGAGACACTCGCTCATAGTGTCTCTCTGTATTACTTAACTTCAAATCAAAGCAAGTCCTTACGCAGTACCAGGCGTCTGATGTTGACCGCGGTGGCGAAAGTACTGGCGAAATAAGTCCCTGCAAACTCCTGCCGTGCATTTACTGTACTTAAAGTCTACTTCGCAAATTGTAGAGGGTCTCGCAGTTATCTAGGAAATAGGTTTCAGAGTAAAAACTCGGGTCTGTCATTTCGACCTTTTTGTCTCGGAGTTTACAGTGATGAGTTTCGGTAAGTTGAGATTGATCGCACTGTGCATGAATACTTCTGTTCTTCCACTGTCCACTTTCTCCCATCTTGAGCATGGAAAGGGCCGTAATGAGCTCGAACGTTCCCCATGAACCAAATGTATTCGCATCTCGGGGTAAAGCCTGCCAACTCTGCCTCACACTTGAATAAAACAATGTTTGGATCCTTAACAAGTCATCCGGAGCCAAATTGGTCTCCTTGACCGGACGCACTGCTATAAGGAATAAGACAGCACGATCCGTAAAGAGGTGGATTGCGAGGACATTGTCACAATCCTCGCAATTCATATCGTCGTACTCGTACGAGTTCTCCCAGAAATCTTCCAACTCTCCAAGCTTTTGTGTACGTGCGTTTTGTGCTGTATTCAAATCATTAACTGGTGTCTGCTGCTCTGATTTGGGTCTAAGCAGTTCGACTGTTCTCTCATCTTGAGCATGGAAAGGGCCGTAATGAGCTCGAAAGTTCCCCATGAACCAAATGTATTCGCATCTTGGGGTAAAGCCTGCCAGACTCTGCCTCACACTTGAATAAAATATTGTCTGGATCCTCACCTAGTCATCCGGAGCCAAATTGGTCTCCTTGACCGGATGCACAGCAGTGCGTCCGGTCAAGGAATAAGACAGCACGATCCGCAACGAGGTGGATTGTGGATCGTGCAATTCATATCATGGGACTCGTACGAGTTCTCCCGGAAAACTTCTTACTGACCAGTATGACTCTTTTCCATTCTTCGTTATATATAGTGTGTGAGACAATAAGTAGATTGGGTCGATGCTTCATCTGGAAGTTTACCGCCGGGCGGATGCATATGCGGCCATGGCTCGAGGGGTCTAAAAAATTAGAAAAAATCGCCTGCTGTTTCCTTCGCATGAATCAAATTGGGTTCACGCCGGACGCAGGTCAGACTAGTTGATTGTCTTCGCATCTGCAGGTGCCTCCGGCGAGTGTCTGTACGTTCTCCATGTTTCACAAAGATGGAGTATTGTAGGGGCACGAGGATTACAAAAATCAGCGCCTCCATGCTTTCAGATCTGGATGGTACAGACTCTGGGGCCCGATCTTAAAGCTTCGACTACGGCGATGGCCTTGATGGAGGCCTCAGCTGTGGAACACAGTCTTGTTTCTGTCCAACGCCAGAGAAGGCTGCCAACAAGAAAGGCGACTCAAATTTGACGCATGTCGTCGAGTCGTCTGACATCGACAGGACCAAGACGTCGCTGCTTGCCGCGTGCCCTCGCCTTACCCAAGGTATCATCGAGAATTTCACGCCTCCATATCGCTCGACGAGGTGAAGTGAGTGTTTCTGAAGCCTGTGTTGATTTCACCCTGGGACATTTCTGGATGTTCATTTGAAGGATTGTGTCCTATAGAAGCAAATTCCAGACAGAATGGGACACGAAATTAATCGTGCAGGTGCGAATGAGACCGCTGGACTGCATGAGGCAGCAGCCAAGGGGAACGAAGATGAAGTGTTAAAAATTCTTGCAGTGGGTAAACAGAAGATCGACGTGGCCACATCCGACGGACACACGGCCTTGCATCTCGCCGCTTATGGGGGCTATGAAACCATCGTCACATCCTTGCTTCACTGGTATAGAGAAAATCCTACTGCTGATGTTAATGCCCGAGATGAAGTGCTGCGCAGAACACCTTTGCACTATGCAGTAGGAGGAGGGCACCAGAGGGTCGTCGAGGAACTGATTAGATTTCCCGGTATCGACATTTGCCCAGAAGACTCTGTTCAGAACCTCACTCCTTTGCTCATGGAGGTAATGAAGCCCAAAGGAGTTTGCAAATTGGCCATGGTCAGGACACTAATTGATGCGTGCCCTGAACAAATCAACCGCGCAGTTGGTCCTGACGAAAAGCTCATCGACATCCTGACGTGGCGGAAACATTGCCCTATTGAATTGTTCCCGAGCGACCATGTTTTACTGAAAGTCTCCGGCGCTCGTTTCTTCAGACGAGAGCTCGTTTCTTCCGAGCAGGAGGATCGGAAGTCCGGGAAGTACCGGAAGATAGAGGAATTAAGGAGAAGGACTGACGGAAGCTTATCAAAGGGAGAGTGGGAAGAAAAGAACACCTTGGAAAGACAGGAGTTGCAGGAAACGTCAATGATACAAGATACAGAAAAGCAATACCTTTTTACTAGTACAATGTTCTCGGATCGTAAAACAGATTCCAAAGAGGACAGAGTGATAGACCACTACCTGACGTACAACTGCTCGATGGAAGGGCACACGATTTTCCACCTGGCTGCCGCACAAGACAACGCAGAGGTCCTCTCGCACCTCCTCAATTGCCCGAAAGCAAATGTGAACATCCTCACAGCCGATGGCAGCGGAATGACGCCTCTGCACTGCGCCATCAGAGTGGAATCCATGGAGACATTCGACATCCTCGTGTCCCACCCAGAAGTGGACGTGAACGCCGTCCTGAAATCGACAGTCGACCTCGCGCGGCCGCTATGGTCGGAACAGACATCGACAGTCGACCGCGCGCGGCCGCAATGGACGGAACTGACATCGACGGGCGACCTCGCGCGGCCGCAATGGACGGAACTGACATTGCACTCCTGGTGGACCCGGGAGAAATCCAAAAGGTTTCGATTCTACGAGGCGACCTGTGTGTCCGACACCCCTCTCCACCTCGCAGTTCGCTGCTGCAGCTCCTTGACATTACGTACAATGGTCATGAAGTTCTGCAACCATCGCCAGTTCCAACCTAGCATCTACAACGATTCCGTCGTACTCCCGCTAGATCTGGCTTGGCTCCGATCCTCATGCAGCTTGCAATTCGGAAACAGCTCGATCCAATTACAATTGGTACTCGACATGCTCGAACGCCAGCCGGGGAACGAGCCTCTGATGAACGAGGTCAACAGCATGAAGCATGGGGCCCAGAACTCCGCCAACGCTGTGCTGGTCGCGGCCGCGCTGCTTGGAGGGGTAACATTCAATGCTCTGCTGCAACCGCCATTCGGTAACGAATTCCCGTACAATGCCCGGGCCGTGCGCTTCTTCTGGACCTACGATTGCATGTCCTTCTACTTCTCGATGTACACGATCCTGTCCTGCCTGGGCACGACCATCACCACGCAGCAGAACACGCAGCGCATCACGGGCGGCAGCCTCAACACCACGTCCACGCAGCGCATCACGGGCGGCAGCCTTTACACCACGTCCACGTCTCTGCGCGTCTTCTTCGCCCACGAGCAGGCCCAGCTCGTCGTCCCCCTCATCTTCTGTGTCGTGACCGGAGTGGGAGCCTTCGTCGGGGCGGGCTATGGCAACCTGCCTCCGGACACTCAGACCCTCATGACGGTCTGCACGATTTTGGGTAGTCTTCTCGTTTTCACCCAGGCCTTTCGCCGCATCTTCTACACGTTCAAGCTGTACCGCGACGTCAAAGTTGGGGTCAAGAATCGGTTCGATCATCTGTGGTATCTGGTTAAGGGGGTGTTTATCGAGGCTCCGCGGAGACTTATTTGTATGCCGTGCAATAACCGAGGGATTAGCCATGATATTCCTCTAGATCAGAAAGACTTTTCCAGTGAGATGAAGTCGTTGAATCTGGTTATCCACGTGTGGGCTATTGTGGGCGTGACAATCTACGCATCTGTTTCGTGACGAAGGCCGGCCAGTTCTGGTCCATTCGCCGCAACTTCATCAATCTCTGTGTTGCAGCAGGAACCGAATTCCGAAAGCATGTGCAAAAGCTTGTGTCCCAAGTTTGTTCGGTCGATCAGATTGGATGATTTATTCTCGCAGGTAATCTACACATCGCACGTTGCCTTGGTTTTGTTTAGCTTCGGCGAAGAATCCATTGCGTTATCACTAGGTTTTCCTGGCAACTCGGCTTCAGCACCGACATCGCATACGGTTTTATTACCAGATGCAAATGACCTCTACGACACAGTGACTATCTTTTGGAACTGCTTTTTGAAGGGCATTGAGTATTTCCCGGAAACTGTCCTTGAACGGGAGGCGATTGTTCCTTATAAATCTGGTGTCCCAAAGCCTTGAAAGTTTTGGGATTTTAGTCTTCGCGTTAAGGTTTTACGCCAAAAATCGATGGCCAACATTTTACGGGTATCTCCAAGTAAAATATTGCAACAAGTGTATATTCAGAAGACCCAAAAACCCCGAGAGAATAAGAATTTATGAAATCAGAAGAACAACCAAAACCTCAAGTTTAGGGCAACTTGTAATGTTCTCAGGGTGATGCCATAAAATGTTCTTCGTTAGGCCGTAAAAGCTTGTTACAGGAATGTTAGAAATGGTCCTGGTTTGTTGGATCCAGAAGACTACATCAATAAATTTGATTCATCCCCGTGAAATAAATGAGTGCTACAGAATCTGGTTTGTTGGATCCAGAAGACTACATCAATAAATTTGATTCATCCCCGTGAAATAAATGAGTGCTACAGAATCTGGTTTGTTGGATCCAGAAGACTACATCAATAAATTTAATTCATCGCCGTAAATAAATGAGTGCTACAGAATCTCGGCGGACACTTCCCGAAGCCAATTGTCAAATTCATTACAATTGACAAGGACTTTGTTTCAAAACAAAAATCTGTCTACCAATACGTCCTATGAAATGGCCAATCAATATATTCCCATTTACATTCTGTATAGAAGAGATTTGAAAACCCTTAAGAGTACCTACCGTAAGTCCATCTTGGATCAACTGTTTAAATAGTTTTGTCACGGGTAAGAATTGAGCAGTACATCAATAACAAAGATGAGTGTGTATCTTAGCAGCAGGTATTCGATTTCGTGTAATCAACTCGCTAAGCGAACGCAGCATGTCACACGCTTTTATCTAGAAACTAGGTGCATCAACATCCCCTTAGGCCCTTGTGTGTGACATGAATTGAAATCTCACAAGGTTTCCGTCTAGAACGGGCGTCAGAGGTCTCGTATTTTCCAGAAACACGAGGAAAAGCAAGGGTTTCCACTTCTGAACAAGAGTGATTGTGTGATTCTCGATAGAAGAGCTGGAATTTTTTTGCTAGGGAGAACGATTGGCATAATGGTTAGTCATTCTAGAGTTGTACTGTGTAAGCAGATTTTGGTACTATCAGATGAGATCTTAACTAGGAATATGCAGAACGCGTCTCAATCTACGAGACCACGGATAACTCATGTATGTACCGACGAGTGTCTCAGCAATTCATCATCTGGGGCCATCCTCATCGAATTAAGTTTCCAACTCCGTCTCGATCTCGAGCATGAGGAATGATCTCATCTTTACATGCAGCATATTCAACCATTTAATGATATGCAATTAAGAACTACGACACTAATGTACATTTAAGGATGTAAGGAAATTCTCAGCGTTTTGCGATTACTACCAATCGAGGTAGTTAATTGTCACAGTTGTGATCGATTGCGTGATAGGTTGGACACATTCAAGAAAAATATTATTCAGGAATATATATAATTTGCAAGCGAATTACAGAATTATTCAGAATGATGTTTACAATAATTTCTAATTGATCAGACCAGTCAGTAGAGAAAACTTTAAAGATTCCCTCTAAATTACAGCAGTTTTTGATCGATTGCGTGACAGGTTGGACACATTAAAGAAACACATCGTTCGTTTTGAAACTTAACCATGACTATACATCATTTGCAAGCGACCTTCTACTTGACGGTCAAATTACAGGTTTAATCCATAACTATGCTCTATACCTTGTTTGACTCTTTAGAATGATATAACTGGTGTTAACTTGTTAAGGACCTGTTATGCAGCCCGCTTCCATAAACTGGAAGAATACCACTGATGTCTGGTGTTTTTAAGATCGGTGTTACACGAAAATTTGAGCTACAATGGAGTGCAGGAGCATCAGTAACCTGGAGACTACTAGATTTGCCACTGTTAAATTCCTCCAAGGTGTAGTCATTGTAGAGCTCGAATATGAAAACGTCGAGGAAACCGAAACCACTCGATAGATATTGCATTGAACTCTGAAGATTATCTAAGATGTACTGAAAGCTGTGATGTAAGGAAAGCCTCAGTCTTTTGCGATTACTGCCGATCAATGAAGTTAACACAACTTCATCTATTAACAAATTTTGACTGGATCTCGAGCAAGAGGTCTACCACTCGGGTACGTCGTACAAGATACGGAACGTAAAGCAATTGCCAAAAGCCAAGAACCAAGAACCAAGTTCCATATTTGGAATATTTATGATTCCAAAAATTGTATTCTGGCGACACTCAACTTGAAGGGATGTGCTGATGAGATGCTACTTGTCAACAAACCAAAAGCAGGAGAGAATAGTGAGTTCACGATATTTTTCTTCATAGATTCAGATCTGCTGAAGAAATCAATGTCATAAGCTATAATTGAAGCTCATTCTTCCTATAACACGTGCTCCCAACAACTCAAGAGCTCCGAGTCATATGCAGTTTATCTGGAGGTGAAGTGATGAAATCTGCATGCTTGGATCCTTCAAGAATCAGATACTCAGACTCTTCAAATAGACTGGTTCGAAGTTACCTGACATAGCTTCAAAAACAGATAATATCCTTCCCCTGTCATTGCTGGTAAAACCCATGTTCTATATTCAGGATGATGTAAAGAACTGTGTCTGAATATGTTTTGGTTTACTGATTTCAAGAAAGAATAATTATGTAGATTAATGGTTATCGAGTAGAACAAATTTGTCCCTCTTGGAAATTACACTGTATCTTGAGTCTACTATTTCGCAACAGGGAGTAGAAGATCACTTGTCATCACATCTAGACAAAGCTTCGGATACAGAAGCATGTTCTTACTAATGACAAAGAAGGTGAATCTTGTGGAGTTCCAAGGTTGAGGCTTCAGTTCTATGTATATATCCGTAAGTTACTTATAAGTAACGAAGGTGAGTATTTATAGATACTAAAACTAAAAGTTGAGAAAAGTTATGAAAATTGAGTATATTTTAGTATCTGAAATTAAAAATATACTAAATTTTAAACACCTCAATATTTATAAAAAAATATTTCAGATGTAAAAAATAATGATAAATTTTTTGGCTTAACTTCCTATCGAAATATACGTTTAAATTTTGATAGACCCTAAAACTATAAATCCAAATTCAATTTTGTGGATATTTAAATTTTTATGAGGTGAAAAAGTAAAATTTATAAATGTTATATCTGAATAAAATTTTAAATTTTTAGATTTTTTTAAAAAAACCGTCAATCATAATTAATTTATTCATAATAAATTTAAATTTAAATTATTTACTTTTTTTTACAGGAAATATAAAAACTATTGAAGTAAGGATTGCTTGAAAAATAGCTGCTCTTAAATATTTTTATGGATAATCAAGTAATATTTAATTTTTCTAATCATCTAAATAGAACAGTATTTTTGAAAATTTTCATACACAATATAAGTCTAATTATTTATGTCAAACAATTAACAAATCATTTGCAAAAGCATCAACATAGGGATAGATCTCTCACCGAATACACCAAAGACTGTTGTTTGTAGACCATATTTTCATGTAAATTTCTGTAGATCAGTTATAATTATAAAGAAAAATATTATTATTTATATTATATATTTACATGAGAGAATTTGATATGACTTCAAATATAAGATACATAAATGCACATTTTTTTATTGAAAACCTTGAGTGTCCAAATTTCATTGAGCCCATACCTTAGAAAAAGATGATTATATTCTTTCAAAATTGTAAACTCGACTATAGCCAAAAAAGTATCATAGTCTTCATAAGAAACCATGTATTTTTATATTGATTTACTAAAAAACATAATATCAATTTTTTCATAAGAATTATTGATTTTATCAAGAGAAAGCAGACATCATAGTGTCAAAGATATTTTTTTTTTATTCTTTGTATGAGCAAACCATCTAATAAAGAAATCTCTCTGAGTCATCAAATTGAACAGTGAAATAAGCTATCAATACACGAAAATGCATTTAAATTGATACCACAATTTATAAAAAAAAATTAATTTGATGTGAAGTACATAAAATCTATATACATATAACCCAAAAGGTTTCAAAGCTACTTTGTTGCAAAGTCAAGAAGCATTAATCCATTATGGTTAAGCTATATACATAATTTAGTTGCATGGTATGAATAAGAGTGAATGAGTAACTCTGTTAATAGTCCCTTCGGGGACATCCGTTAAAATTGTAACTATACATAGAAGATTAGCATGGCCTTTGTGCACGGATGACAGTCACAAATCGAGAAATGTTTCATATTTTATTTACTTGATCATCATTTACATCAGAATGTATTACCTATTTACAGAATCTCTACGTACTTACATCATAAATTTTCTAGGCATAGAACTCGATTTCATAAGCTTAGAATTGATGAAGTACATTGGCTTAATAATAATAGGAGTGAACTTATTTGTAGATTATGTGACGGTGGGTACATTGAGGATGAATAGCATTTATTTGTTACTTGTTCTAGGTAAGAAGACATTAGGTTTGCTCACAATATAGATGTGGAGATTTTCTCTTCTTTATTACAATTAGTTCCTTTTTGTATAGGTTGTTATTTTATGGACATTATCGTTCTAACGCTCTTGGCACAAGCTAAAGATTGACTTTTGGTGTCTTTTACCTTGTTTGTGGTTTTTTGCTTGTATTGTGTTTTTCAGACTTTTGACCCTTTGGTTCCGGGTTTGGTTAATTACCATTAAAGAAAAATAAATGGATAGAAATTTTAGTAGATTTCTGGTTAATGTATAATTGATTGCTCATTCAATTTTTTTCTAACGGAAATTAATTAAGCGTAGTGATCAAGGTGAAAACATATCAATAGTCATATGGAAACCTCATAGTAAGACAAGGTTATGTACATGCAAAATATAGTAACCGAGAGTAACATCTAGATTATATTAAAAAGTATTATTAGACATTATTCACACTCTTAGATTGTATAACTAGGGATGGGCACGTAGCGGGCTAACTTTCGGGTAGCCGGCTGGGCCTGGAATTTAGCCGGATGAAAATGCAATCAACCGAAATATTCGGTTGAAATGAATCTATATTGGATAATTTCGGCCGAATCTAAGGAAATAATCGGCAGAAAACGTAAATTCGGCCAGAGTTTACGGTTCGTTTTCGGCCTCGGATAGAGGTGGCAATATTTATCGGCTAGCCGGCTAACAAAAAATATTAGCCGACTAGCCCATCCCTATGTATAACCCCATGTCAAGCATCTTTATGGAAGCTCAAAATTATGAAGATTACCAAAAGATATTAAACGTTAGCTTTGGAGCTTTCAATACTAGAAGATGAAACTCAATAAGCAATTTTGTCTTATTCGGCGTACAATTCGTAAAGGAGTAAACACACAAACTACGTGTCATTATACAAAAGAGGAATAGATTAGTAATGAAAAATATGCAATACTCTTATAATACTTACTACAATCATTCACTCTTAGTAATAAATTTGCTAGTAAAAGGAAAAAAACATTAACTACAGATATATTGAGTTGAGGTACACCAGTTATATCGAGAGCATTCAGAAAGGTAGCAATTAGTGGAAAGTCAGAGGAATAGATTAGTAATGAAAAATATGCAATACTCTTATAATACTTACTACAATCATTCACTCTTAGTAATAAATTTGCTAGTAAAAGGAAAAAAACATTAACTACAGATATATTGAGTTGAGGTACACCAGTTATATCGAGAGCATTCAAAAAGGTAGCAATTAGTGGAAAGTCAGATTTTGCACAAACTTGATAAACCCCGTAACCATGCATTAGCTCCAAATCTGACTCTACGTCGATGCTCGTTAATAACAGATGCTCATGTCATGAACCGAACACTGCGACAGATGGGGTCAATGTCCGACCTCCCACTCCTCTTCTCCTCTCCCACTCCTCTTCTCCTCTCCGTCTCGCAGAGGAAAGGATCCAACACATTCGAGGACTTGCTAAGATGCCCGACGCCAGAACGAGAATATTCCAATTCGGAGCGACCATTCATTGCCATCGTCGTCAAACCCCTGCTGCTACTCACTCCATGAAGTAATTTATTTCTCGGTTACTGTAAGAGCGAATTGGCCACGATGAAAGCTGGGATTAGATGAAGAGCTTCGGCCCTCGTGCGCTGCAATCTATTCGTCCGTAGGATCCTGTGTTAGAAACCTAAAGGGGAAGCAGGTCGAGCAGGTTGAGGTCGAGATCGTCGAGAGGCGTGGAGTGTGAGCTGGGCGAACGGAGTTTGGTGGCGTAGGAGTAGAATTTCAGCCAACAGGAGTTGGAGGGAAAGGAGAGGGAGGACGAAGGGGAGCGAGGATGGTGGACGGGCAGAGAGGCCCCAACGTGCTCGTCACTGGGACTCCAGGAACCGGCAAAACCTCGACGTGTGCGCTCTTGGCATCGGCGACGCGCCTGAACCACATCAATATTGGAGAGCTGGTGCAGGGATTGGAGCTGCATGATGGCTGGGATGATCAGCTGCAGTGTCTCGTCATCAACGAGGATTTGGTGAGTTTCCGGGTTCATGATTCGGGCATAAGCCTTTGTGGTATTTTTGTGGTGAGCTGAGCGCTGAGCTTTGGGTTTGATTATGTTGTGATGTACGGCAGGTGATTGATCACCTGGAGGAGAAAATGAGCGCAGGCGGCAATGTCGTCGACTACCATGGCTGTGACTTCTTTCCCGAGCGTTGGTTTGATGTCGTTGTCGTCCTGCAGACAAAAACTGCAGTCTTGTACGACCGCCTCTCTAACAGGTGCCACAAATCTTTCCTCTTGTCTCTGAATTGTGCTACTTGAGGTCAGAATTCAAGCCACCAAAGTCCGCTATCGTCAAATTGCCATCTGGATGCATCTACAATCTGTTCCGTCGATGGATATAAAGCCTTAGACCTGTGAGGACCCAATTTGTATTTATTTCTCCGTGAAGATGCGAGCTTTCGCTTGCTCACTACTTTGAGTAGTGAGCATATAGAGGGCCAGCAGGTGGGAGAGAATTCTCTGTCATACTTTTCTGAGGACGGCTTTGCAAAACTTAACACGATACAACATATACAACACAATTTTGTGAACCGAAATTTTTTTGGGCTTCAAGTTGACAGCATCAGCACCATCCATACGGGGATATGATGTAATCAATTTTCACAGTATGGGAGATGTGTCGAAACTTGCTACTTAAGGATTCGATGATTTTGAGGCATAACATGATATAATCTTATTTCCATCTCAGAATTCTCGCCGCCCTTTCAACTTTAAAACAACATATAGAACCCCTAATATCAGGCCCAAAGATGGACACAGCTCCAGAGTTTCTGTAGTTTCTGCCAGCATTTGAGAAACCTGTCAAAACTACCTTACTCTCTTGGGAATCAACTTTAATTTTTTAGTATACAACCACGTACAAGTATATGCACATGTTGAAAGAGTATGACATGTCTGGAATTCAACCTTCCAGTCATTCATATTGGACCTAGCCTTCATGAGCGGTTACTGTAGAGAGGGCAGCTAAACATTAAGTCTTGGAGCTGGTTTGTCAACATTGTTCGCAGAGGATACATGGATCAGAAATTACAGAACAACATCGAGTGCGAGATATTCCAAGTTCTTTTGGAAGAAGCGCGAGAAAGTTACAACAAGGACATAATTTTGGCTCTTCCAAGCGATACTATCGAAGACATGAGCAACAATGTGGGCTTGCTGAAGGAGTGGCTGCGGACTAACGCCCCTTCTTATCTGATTGATTAATCAGAATTTCTCTTAAGCCATTTTGAACCTGTGTTTTGTCGACAGAGGAACCTTAGATTGACAGATCAAAACGAGTAAGACTAGTACAGATTAGAATAGATGACACTGGAATTAGACGGATGTGTATAGACGTTCAATTGTCTGGACCTCAAATGGCTTTTAGCCTGAGCGTTTTGTGTTTTTTATGAGCCTTACATGGCTCCGAAGAGTACTCAAGTATTACAATCAGATTCCACACAGCCAGGAGTAATACTTGAGAAAGACCGATCTGACAGAGAAGTACGACGTTCTTGAATTTGAATATTGCTGAATGGGTGCCACCAGTTACTACTCAATGTTTTCGTAGTTACTTGGATCACCCTCTTATAACACAAGCCGAAGACAGACGTAAAACAGTAGGATAATATGAGCCATGAGTGAGGTTTTATGGCAGCCGAGTAACCTTGTTGCTTGATCTATAGCAAAGTTCAATACATTATGTTAAAGAAGCGCTTCTAATGATCTCACATGTAACAATTTTCTTTCCCATTAATGTGGAAATTTACAAGACAATCTGATCATTGCAAAAGTTTGCGTTCACTCCATTTTGTGCTCACATGATCAATCCTGAAAACACTTGTCTTCTTTGCTTTTGCCATGTACCCAAATTCTTTTCCTGTTCCATGTATTGGATTTGCAGCTTCAGGGTTAATAGAAGCGGATGAAAGCTGTGCCATTAACAGTCTGTCGTGAGTTTGTTACGTTTCTGGACTGTATAGTACCACTATTTCCTTGCTCTTGCCTTCTGAGTAAGATGATGCTCATTGAACTTTTTCTTGTCACGATTTCGGATTTAATTGGTTCTTTGGAAAATAAGGTGGAACTGTAGGAAAGGAGTCCGTGAAGCATTCCATGAACTCCAGAAAAATATGTCCGAACTCAAAGTTATAACCCGTTTTGTGTATTGTCTTTCGAAATGTAACTCTCTAGTGCTGTTAAGTTTAGCGATAAGTAACCTAGAGATTGGGAGCTCACGTCAGCAGATGTAAATTTCGTTCTTCAAGGACATTTTGCTTTCGACAGATCAAGTCCTCCGAGGAAAAGGAAGGGCATGCAAGTTATGACCCTCCATTGAATATTGTTATGGAACACATGAGCTGAAGGTAAAGACTGAGAAAGAAAACAGTACGATGACATGGTGTTGTACAAGCAAGCATATCCGCCGTTTACCGACAAATGTTAATTGGGTTGGAATATGCCTCTGAGTCTTGATGGGGAAACGGCTCAAATACTGCAGTTTGGACTTCTAGATCTCGACTGCAGTCAGTATTTACAGGACCCTTCCCTGCGAATATACGGTTTGCAGCCACCTATTCATCATCGAAGGTCGCACTTCCCATTCTTCGATGTAATTTTCATCCTTTGAGCTCAGGCCTGACTCGAGGCGCAACACTGGGCAGTGTTGAAGATTGGAGGGATTGTACCGAGACAAATATTTACATCGGATGCTAACCATGTTCATTCCGCAAGCTCGTATCAAGTTGGGTACTCTAATTCGAGAAGCACTTCGTGTTAAAACCTAACTATAGTTCAGCTGCCTCTGTCGGTCTCCGATTCTTTTTAGAGAAAAAGAATCCTCTCAAGATGCCTAGTTACAAGTTTACCTCCCGTAGAAGAAAGCTCTTCCTGTAAGCGATTTGACTCCATCCTTCCGGATCCAGAGGGCATCGATATGTGCAACGGCCTTTCAGTCAGTTCTAACGTAAAAAAAAATTTGTCAATTTGTTGGACATTCGTGTGCCAGTTCAAGAGTAAGAAGCCTCATATTAAACGACCTTCGCCATACGATATTACGGATGGTCCCTGGATTCTGGAATCGAAATCTGAAGGATATAGACATCAGCTGGTTCGTCACGTTTCCATGATGATGTCAGCTGACACACTGTCGGTCAAAGACAGACGGCAACACTAGAAGCATGCAAGAGCATGCAGAAGTTTTGAATTCACTACTTTAGTGATCTACACTTTGAAGCTTGTGCAAAGCGTAGGGAAAATAAAGTGTTGAGAAGAAGTTGTTTCTGCGACCACGAAAAAATAAATTCCAGATGCAAACAGATATTTGGCCCCCATTCACATGTATTGTATGTAAAGACCGACTTCAAACTTGCATATGTTTATCTCTGCAGCTTTTAGCCGAAACAACTTATTCAAACACACCTCTTAGAATAGCGACAGCAAGACTAAGATAATCAGGAATAATACACCCGCACTTGCTAGACAGTATAGAATTGAGAATTCTGATAGCATTGCTGTTAGACAAGACGAATAACACACGACTTGGGACCACTTCAAGCCTAGGTTTCAGATGAAATCTACCTCCTTTGCTAGTCAAGCTTTCTAGGTGACTAATAACCATCGAGAATACAGCCGTCAAATCGAGCCTTCTGACAGACACAATCATTGAAAGGAGAGGGTAGGACTCTGATCTCCTGATCCTCTTTTAGAAAACAGGGGAGGAACGGGAAGTTGTGTTAGAGGAACGTTTCGTGACAAACCAGTTACTATGGAATACCGGGCTCTCGACAAGTGTCGACTCCCAGATTTCCTTGTATATAGCGCTATCAGCAGTATCATATTGACGAAGGTCAGAAAGAAGAAAATGGATTGCTTACTTGCTCATCCAAAAGTTCCGACTAGCATCAGGCAAATGCTTAGATGGAAAAAAGGATCACAAACCAATTTTTGTTGCATGTCTTCCTAATTCTAAATGCTCTGAGCTGGTTGACAAAAAAGTATTGATTGATTGGTTGGCCGTACATAACAAATCCTGAATGCGTGCTGTTTCGATCACCGATCGTAAACTGCTTATTTCCTAAACTTTCTTTGAGCTTTCACTGACATGCAACGGAGCATTGGATGAGGTCCCTCCCGACCATCCATCTATCCATGTGGTACGTCTCCTAGCCTCTTTTGAGCACAGGTATTGGAGGAGAAAAACGAGAATGATATTGACCAGTTATGCGGGACGACCACTATCCTATGCTGACCTCTACAAATAAGGGCCTCATGGCCTATAGACTCTGAGCAGCTGGTGCCCAACCCTCAGTCATGGATGCCAAGTAAAGCCTGGTTGTAAGCAGCAGATTCAGGTTCCCACTTATCGAAACATATGGACTCAAAGAGCCGAGGCAGTAAGTACACTGAGCAACCCAAAGCTTCGCCAAGATCGTCCCATCGTCTCACACTCCCTCGTTGAACTCAATCTCTCTCTCTCTCTCTCTCTCTCTCTCTACACGCTCCCTCAATCAACAAGTGCATGGTACGTCTGGAATTGTGTTCATTCACCTCATCCTAGCCCCTCACATCCCTACCCTGCCCTAGCCTACATGCAATGATGAGTGTCTACAGTCCTGTATTCACTTCGTGGCTTGAGCTTCGCAGCTGTAACGTCCTTCCTTGTTCTTCACCAACTGCCTCTTGCACGCCTCTCTGAAGTCAAATCTGGCAATACCTAAGTAGGGAATAGGGAGGAGGGAAGATGAGGAGGCAAATCCAAGCTCCTAATGCAATGACGCCAAATCTAGCCGACTCATCATGAGACGAGCCTTAGTTGCCGGTTAATTCGGCCACATTTGCTTCAACCTCAATATTGAGAAGAAACCTCACCAACCCATCTCAGCTAGCAACGACTTCCTGAACATTGGCCTAAGTTTCACATACTTTGAGCACCTTCAAGAGGCTGGTTGTCATACATTCTTACAAGCCTACTAGTAGCACCACCGGCGGAAAAAGTGCACTACGTTGGCTGGTGAGAGAGGGCGAGATAGCCTAAGATGCTAAGCAACGAGGTGTTATTCTCTTCATTTACTTGTAAAGTGTATTATATGCAACATGTAACCTTTATTCTACGGATAGCAGTAACTGGCACTATCCAAATGAGATTGATCACGTATGATTCTTCATATACTCCTTTAGACAAGACAGATTGATCTACTTCGTTTGTATACCTTAGAAGAGGAGTAAATATTACCCACTGTGATGCAATTAGAGCCTATCTCATGTTAGGGTTTGGATTCATCCATGTCTGGATGCGCCTTTCCATCCTTTTTGCGACATTACTTGGTGTGTGCATTGGCTGCCTTCCTACCATCTCGTTTACCCGTAATGACCAGATCTAGGGAGTATTATTTCAGTGGACTGCCTGAAGGAAAACATATAATACACATGATCGATGAGACACAGACTCCAGTTTTTCGTATACTGATCCATAGAGGAAGAAGAAGTGCTGAACTCGAACGTCATGTTGATCAAACGACAACCTAGACAGATACGAATCAGTGTAGAGTGCAGTGGAACAATACAGATGTCCCAAAGAGCTGCTGTGAAAAGCCGAGTTCGACAAGCAATATATCCGATTTGCTCTGCATGAAGTCAGAATTTCATTTGAGGGCAATGTTCTGCAATTGTTGCAGAACTTTTCATTACAGTAAGTTCATCGCTTTATCGAATGTAGGTGTGCCCTGCCGCAAGTGGCTTGGTCATTGCAGACCCGTGACATATCTTAGACGAACACAACGGATAGAAGTTACAGCAGCTCAACGCTGTACTTAGTCAGACTCTAGGAGTGAGGACTTCAGAGAAACTTTCTGCATGAACTTTTTCTAAACCTCCTGCCAAGCATCAACCCACAGTACATACAGGAAGTATGGTATAAGATCCTGAAAGTACACATACCGGTAAAGGAAGAAGGTGACTGCTAGAAAGGACTGAACTCGGATATTCAAATGTAGATGTCATAAGGCTGCATGTACTGAGACAGCGGTAGCGACAACCTTGGATACTGAAACTCCGGAGTCCGGATGATGGGGAGATGATATTGGTTTGTTCTGAGGGTCACGGCAGCATTTCGAAAGCAAGGGAAGAGGAATTCGGCAGAGGAGGTTGGACCCAACGTGGAGGAGCGGGCACTGGAATGGAAGAAGAATCTCGAGTAGTCCATCCACCTGTACAATAGGGTAAGAGTGGCTGAAAGCTGTGGGTACGAGTACGATGATGACTGCCCAAACCCCAGCGCAAAAGTTGGAAAACTCAACATTTCTCATAAAGATGTCAGAAGATTGACTGAATTCTGTAAATAGTAAGGGAGAAGATGTCATTTGAGTGAGACGCAGATAAATGTAGATATAATTTTGCTTGCGCTCGGTGTTCCGAAAGCAAGAAGTAATATACGATTAGATGAAACTTCTGCAGAACAGGGATGATTGGGAAGCAAGAAACGCAGCTAGAAGACGCATGTGACTGATTTACTGTCTCGCTCTGCAGAACGTGGACGGATTCAGAAGGAACATTCGCGATTGGAGGAAACATAAGAACTGCAAGAACGTGGAAGAACGTGAACTCGACTGGCATCGAGAGATATCAATTGCCCGTCCACTGGGTAGAGAGAAGAAAGAAGTGTGGCAGATGCTTAAAAGAAGTTATGGGTACTTGTGTACGAGTACGGTAACAACTGTGCAATCTCAAGTGCAACGAGTGCTGCCAAAGACTGGACTCGACTTTCAAAC